ACGTTGCGATGAGAATATTTTACATACGGAAACACAACGCATGAATATATACATATATCCGCGATATAATAAATTCCGTCAATAATTGTCGTCACTTATTTAACGCTTCCGCGCGGAATCCGAGAGAGATCTAGCGAGTAATATCGGTCTGTCGATGACATTTGCACGATAATCACGATTAAAACGTGCGTTTTGCACGCGTGAGGATAAATTTCAGTCACGTACACAAAACGCGCACGTCGAGTGGGGACGCTCGACCGCGACTTAATGGAAATAGTTCTCGGAAAAGTGAAATCTCATATAACCCAAGGGAAGGAAGGAGGCCGCAAAATCGGGGATGGACCCGTGTATTCAGAGCCCTCGGATGTTCCGCGAGACTTCCGTAGGACCGATATATTCCTATCCGGACGCGCGAGAACTTGTGCGACCCGCGTAAACTTCTTGCCGAGAGAAACTTATCGTCGCGCGATATGTGTCGCGCGATACGGGGAAAGACTCCGGGTTTCAAGACCGCAGCTTGTGATTTCGCGCGCGAAAACCTCTGCAAATTCTAGACAGAAAGTTCGATTAAGTCCGGTAATATCGCACTTCCGAGCGCGAACGTAAACTTCTCTCGCAACATTCTCCCTCGTAACGTTCTCGTTATAATTATTACCAATATATTGCGCGAAATCGTAAATATATTTAATTAATGTAATTTTATGTAATTAGCGACAATAATTGAACGAAAGAAATAAAAAAAAATTAGAGTTATTCTCTTCTTGTCCGATTATATATCGAATAAAGCGGTAATTCACTGTTTCATTTGTGCCAATTATTACATATTGCATTGTATCGTGGATATTCCGTGCGCCGTTCGTGTATCAAGAATAAAATTAATATGAGAATTGAATTCGCGTTGGATTTTAATAATCAGATATTAATATTTGTAAAAAAATTTATATACTGCATATATATCATAATAATTGAAACAAGTATGCCGATGATTGAAGTCGTATTAAGGTTTTTGATAGCTTCGATACAATTTTATTACGGATTAAAATATGTCAATATATCTACACACACATACACACACACACACACATAAAGAGAAAGAGAAGGCAAAAAATTAACACGGTGCAAAATTATGAAAGCAAACTTTTTACATAACAACTTACATCTCGTGGAAAATTATATAATTTTGACTATGTAATTGCGTTCAGAAGTGCAGACGAGCTCTTTCAAGTCAGATCTAAGGACGATCTTACGACCGCTCTGTACGAAGTTTCTTCGGAATCAAACGAGACGCGACTTCTCACGAGAGATCGTCGCAGATAGAGGTCTCTTCTTTCCTTTGGCGGCATTTGTAGTTCCTTTGATCGAGCCGTTCTCGTTGACCGGACGGAATCGCGAGGACGCTCTCGTTACGGTGAAATGCCGGCCGATAACTTTTATCGCGTCTCGCGAAAACGACCGGATAAGTACTTTTCTTCTCTTTTCTTTTTTTTTTCTTTTTTTTTTTTTAAGGGATCACCGCAATTCTCCGTGCCTCTCTCGCGGGTCCTTAGCCGCGGGCGGACCGGATAAAAATTCATAGGCGCCCTCATAGAGATGTTATCGTCGCGCCCTCGTCGCGCCTCTTCATCTCGGACGTGCGACGAGGAAACGAAGAATGTTATCCGCTAGACCGTCGCCGCGCCAGTTGCGTCATCGCCCCGATGCTGATAACAACGACGACGAGAGGATACTGTACACAGAAGACGTCCCCGTGACACGAACGAGGGGACGTTTTGAGGGTAAAAGTTATCAAACGCCGCGCGTAAAACCGCGCGCGATGGCAAACGCGACGATGAACGACGATGAAGAAAACGGCGGGGGGGGGGGGGGTGAGAAAAGCGACGCCCCCGTTTTCTCGGATCGTAAATTTTTACACCGTTCGCGTGCACCTATCAGCGGCCGCGTGTAACAACCGGACGGACTCACAAAAAGCGTTTGATTAATGATCCGTGCGGCACGGCAGACATCCCGGTCTTAATCCGTCGCAGCTGCGCTGCAAACTCTCATTGGTTCAATTTTGGTGAGGGAGCGGGGGGAGGGGGGGGAGGAGAGATAAGCGCAATCTTCCGTGCCGCTGATAATCGCGGATCTAAAATAACATTTTGCATTCTAAATATCAAACGACATACACAACACAAACATCTTCGCGCGCGCGATTATGGATGAATATAAAATATTATATCTGCGTATATACGTGTTGATGAGTCGTGTGTGAGTTTTCTGCTTGTTCATTATTTTCGTTATTTAATTTCCGCGACCGATCAAAGGCGCGAGAGAGACGCGCAGGGCTTTAACGAAGCGGACGCACTCGCAAATTAAATTACGCCGAGATTGATGAGACGATACTAAGTAGAACGTTCTGCACAGGACTCTGAGAGACCGTACGCCAATTCAGTGGAGAGTTTGGTCAAAGGGAGAGAGAGAAAAAAAAAGAGAGAGAGAGAGAGAAAGAGAGTGCTCAATTCCTTTCGCAATTCCGAGTTTAAATTTCTCCTGAGACGCTACTCTCGAGCTTTTTGCTTCGGCGTATCGATGCGCAACTTGAAAACAACATTGGATTTTTATTGCTTCGCAAGAAAGTGCATGCTCGTCTGCCGGTGTTCGCTTTTGAGGTGAAAATCTTACGTGGCAAAAAGACACGATGGTCGATCGGGATCAATCAGATGAAAGCCGCTCGACCTCTCCTTCCTCTCTCTCTTCTTTCCGCGTCTTAACGCGCGGTCTCGCAATATCGGCTACAAAATTCCTAACGTCTCTCGGTTAACGACCAAGCCGCATAAAGCCGGACATAAATAACCTGATCAAGGCTTTTTTTAAAACATTTATCATCGATCCGGGAGGGGGGGGTCGTATATATAAAAAGAAAACGCGCTTCTTTGCAAAGCGCATCCTTGATGGATGCGTAAAAGTGAAATCTTTCAAAGAGTCAAACTTTTTGAGAACATTTCTGACCGAAGGAAGGAAAAAACACCGGGCGTATACAAGTTTTTATTTATTTACGTAATAAAAACACACTGATAACTTCAAACAGTTTTTAATGACTGTGTCGTGATTTATTTATTAATTTCCCTTTTGGCACTGTTTGTTTCTCTCTAATTGGTTCGCAACAAAACAGAAAATGTTTGCAGCTCGCAACACGCAGTTTTTCCTGTGTGCGCAAAAATTTTGTCCGTCTGTTTTTTCTCTCTGTCTCTCTCCTCTCTCTCTCTCTCTCTCTTGCATCATTAATACTTTCATTATGACGGCTGTTTGTAAAGTAAGGAGACGACAAAGTACACAAAGTATATCGACTGAAGGAACATAACGAGGTCGTTCTTGTTCATTAAGTTCGTCGCGAACTAGTTAGTTTAGTTTCATTTTAGAAGAAATAAGCAACCGGGGGTGTTTATATTCGCGGAATAAGTGCCCGAGTGCGCATACATCCGCGGCAATTGTCTTTGCGACTATTCGATACGATAGCGCGGCCAATATCGAAACTTCCTTACTTGAATTGACTTTTGCTTGACGAGAATCGAACGGGATGTAAATTGCGTTTCCATCCGTGTAACATTCGGTTTAACGACTACGTCGTAACACAGAGCGCGCTTCGGAATAATTTCGATTCCTCCCGCCCCCCCCCCTTCCTGAACCGAATCATTATCGACGATTTATATCCAGATCGTCACAATGTGTCTTCTTACACTTTACTTCTTCGTAACGTTGCGTAAGACGGCTTGTTACTTCGAAAGGTATCAAAAATTGTGCAACAGCTTCAGATACGAATAATTATATAACAGCGACTTTTTTCCTCTCTCTCTTTTTTTTCTTCCCGCGCGGATAGAAAAAAAAAATATATATATATATATATATATACGTGTGTGTAAATATTTTACGTAAATATGTGTACCTGGGATGTATACTTGCACATATACATTTGTGAATTACGACTATTGAGCGTTAGAAGTTTCTCCGGCAAGTATATAATCGGGGGGGGGGGGAGGGTAATCTGAGCGCAGGCAACCAACTCTCTTGTTCCGTGTAATAACAAACCGCGATAACGAACCGAACGCTCATACCATTTGGAAAATGGCTCATTGAATTACTTCGTTACTTTAATGGCATAATTCGCCGCTTAATGCGCCAATCTCTCTTCGCAAAAATAAACAAAATAAAAAAAAAAAGAGACAAATTGCCTTCGCACGCGAATTTCCGAAATTCTTTCTCGCGCGTGTACATTTACGTAATCGCGCTCGCATACTCTTCGCGAGAGAGTGGAACGAGTGCGCGCTCTTACGAACGCGTTACATACACACAAAATGAAATGGACTACAAAGTGCGCCTTAATTTATTAAAGCTGAAGAAAGCAATCTTCTAAGTGCGAGACAGAGAGAAAGGAATGCGAGCGAGAGAAAAAGTCGTAATTGCTGGTTAACAGTGGCGACACGTGATAAAGATATCCAAAGTTTTCTTCTTTCTTTTTCTTTCTCGTTCTCTCGTTGCGCGCGTACAAACGGTATGTGTAATCAGACGCGGACTTTCGTTTCTTTTGCGCGCTAATGAGATAACACACGGTAAAACGACTGCTTTGGAATAACTCGTCTCGCGGAATCACTGCAAGTTTCGCGACATGGTTTCTGCGTTAGAAACCCCGAATTAACGAACATGGTTCGGTTCGGTTTTAATTGACTCTGTAATAGTGAGAAAAAAAAAAGCGTATTGACATTGAAAGATGGCGATTCGTTGCGGCGTTGCAGGATCATAAATTGGATTCGAGTTCTAAAATAAGCTTTCTAAAAAAAAAAAAAAAAAAAAAACAAGCTAAGGGAGAAAAAAACCTCTCAAGATGCACACGCACACACTCTCTCTCTCTCTCTCTCTCTCTCGCATCTTTCTCACTTAAAGGTTAAATCAGGAGACGGGGGACAGTCAAACAGTCGCACAACGAGCAAAGCGTAGGAGGCAGACGAGAATGGATTCTCTCTTACCGAGAAAGCTTTGAGGAAGACTAGGCATTGTATGATGCCCTCCATCGTGTCCCCGGTTAAACAAAAGGTGCCGTTGAGATGTCGTCCCTTGCGACCTATCACGGAGCAGAGGTTGGCCTGTACAAAGGCGTTCTGCGATCGCGTGGCCGCCGTGAGAGCCGGATGGTGCGAATGGGAACTCATTAGACGCTCCAGCGAGTCCATGTTCTTCTTTTCTTTTTAATTTGTGTTCGATGATTTCTTTCTAACTTCGATCTGTTGCAAAAAACGACGGTTGAAAAAGGGTTACGTGGACGTCGCGGTTGGAGTCGAACATCGAACTTCGGAATTGGGATCGAGCATCAGTCACGGATCTTTCTCGTTCCATTGACGAACAAATTTCTCTCTCTCTCTCTCTCTCTCTCTCTCTCTCCGGCGTTAAATCTTCCGCTTCTGTGAAAGCTCCCACACTTTTCAGAAAACACACTCGCAATCGGCCGGAGAGTGTTTTGATGCATGCCTCAAAAGCGCGACATTACACGTCGTCGCAAGATACATCGCGCGAGTTTAATCCGCGGCTCTTTCATTCGGCGTTATTGAATCTCTTCTACGTAGGTGGGTAGGTAGGTATAGGTGGTAGCACAGCTTACAAGCAGAGAGAGAGAGCGCGGGTGTCGTTTCTTTTTTTTTTTTTTTTTTTTTTTCAGTTCTTCCAGAAAGACATTTTTCTGCTGATGACGGCGCGCGCTGTGCACACTCGACTTTATTAATCAACTTCTTTGAAAGTCGGACCCTTCGCGAATACGTACTTGCAAAGTGTGTATTAGTGACGCTCCAATTTGAATTTTCCTCGTTAACACTTCTCGCTGTTAATTTTTCTCCGGTCTTCTTTTCCAGAAAAAAAAAAAAAAAAAAGTTTTTTCGCCAAGCGCCGCTGTATCGATCACGTGAAAAATTTTTTAATTCGATCGGGAAATTGTAAATACGTATACGTGTGTACAATCACGTAAAGCGATATTACCGCTTCGTTTCCTCTTCTCCTCTTGCTAACCAAACGGGTCAAGATTTTGTTGTTGTATTCCGAGGAAACGGAATGCTGCGCTGCTATTCACAATAATGTCCGGTCTGCTGACGGGCACAAAAGAAACTTCACTCTATCTCTCTATCTCTCTCTCTCTCACCCTGTTTATACACCGCGACTTCGTTGCGGTTGCATCGGCGTTTCGGCGCCCGGCGCCCAAGTTTGCATTTCACCCGGTACGTGAACCCGAAGAGTTCGTCGAAGCGAGTTTGCTTTTCCCTCCGCTCCGTGGCGAGGACTATCAGCCGCGATGTCTCAATCAATATCACTTTACCGAGTCTCAAAAGCCTAACGACCCGCCTCTCTTACTTTCCGTTATATTGCGGCGACGACGACGACGACGACGACATCGCGTGCCGCTGCGCCGACCACTTTCGCACGACTGAACTTGTCGCTGAACCGTCGTCGGTTTTATCGTTTGTCCGCGAGCAAATCGTGCGGTTGCACATTTGTCAATAGTCGCAGCTTCGTACAATCATAACTCGACGAACGTCAACAAGTTTCTCGTTGAGTGAAAATCGTCTCTCGATGGATGTTCGCGCGAGCGCAATTCTCCGATTGCGGAGAGAATTTATCACTGATTGTTATTAACGTTAATTGCAAATTTCGTCATTATCGATCTGCGTTCGCCGCAGTTTGAAAACGAACTTTGTCACTTAGGGAACAAGAGCAAGTCGATTCGCTATGTTTCAGCTGGCAGAACAGCTGACAAATCGTTATCGATTCGCGTTGCCGCCCCGAACATCCGTAAACATCATGAATCCTCCGAGACGCGGGCGTCTGTTATCACTGCGCGGAACTGTAAATCCATCTCGCGCGGCCATCCATTTGCTCCGGGGTGCTCGACCATCGACGGAGTATCCGTCTGAGATTGATCCAACGAAGATCCCTCTCCTACCCTAGGTAACTCAACAAAGTAGCGCGACTTGGATTTTTTTTTCTCGAGCTAATCTAACGAATATTAAAAACAATCTCTTCGGAACGGAAGATTATTTCGGGACGACGGTTGGTAGGCGAACCGCGCGTGATTTATTGCCGGCAACAGGCGGGCGGCGGTCCCTGAATGTTGCGGGAGATGGAGTATATCTTCTGCGACGGTGACGTTTTTGTTTCGGCCGGTCGTTGCGTCTCTGTCGCCTGCGGCGCGGTGTAACGCCGAATTAAATCGCACATTTCGTAGCAGAGAACGCAGATGCCGATTATCAAGAACGTATCCATTTCTTTGTTGCGCGATTGTTCGCTAATTAGGGATAGATCCCGATGCGAAAAGCTATTGTCCGACAGAACGAACAAATTCTTTCTTTGACGCGTCACTCGCTTCTATTTTACTGTGGTTGAGCGATCGCGAGATTGTTACGTGCACTTAACGCTGCGTCTAGACGCTAACAGCGAAACGTCGGTTGCGCCGTCAAGTTAACGCCGTCGATGACAGTGCACTTTCCGTTCGTGAATACTCTCCGCGCTTCGCAGCTGAGAGCGAGAGGAAGAAGAGACACGAGGGCGGGAGTGAGAAGAGAAACGCAATTCGAAGCACAAGCTCGCTCGCTCTCTCGCTCTCTCTCTCTCTCTCTCTTTCTCTCTCGAGATATTACAACGGTCCGCACGGTGCTGGGGATAACGTCAATCACGCGCTTTCATCCGCGGAGTCGCGCGCGCCCGCCGAGACGCCAAACGTTAACGCGTTGCCGCTGTCGATGACAGCCCTGTCCGTTGATCAGAAACTCGGGCGTTCTGATAATTCAATAACCACCACAGCTACCTCACTGCCAACACCACCGTGACATCTCGCATCGGGAGAGAGAGAGAGAGAGAGAGATAGAGTTGATGCGTTTCCTCGACCCGTTTCTTCTTATATCGTCGACGTGCCACGCGCTGGTTCTCGCACGAGGACCAGCCAAAGCGCGCGCTTGAGACGCGATGGCAGCTCGTAGCCGCAAACAGAAACGGTCAAGAGGGAGCCACGTAGGTGAAGCGGCGGCGAGGTGGTTTTCACAGAAACAAAACACAGACCATGTGAGCAAATCCGCCGCCGGATATATCCCGGTGTTATTACGGGAGGAGAGACACAAAGTGTTGGTGTCACAAGCGCGCTCCGCGACAGCTCCGTTTCACTTTAATCTCTCGCCGAGAGATTCACACACAGTTGAAAGTGTTTGCGTCTACTCGAGCGTCTTCGAAGGAAAAAAAAAAAAACAATCACACGAGAAGATCGCGCGACACGCTTTTCGCGCCTTTCGCGTGCGTTCGCGACGGGCGAACGACGGGCGGGAGCGGCGGCGGTGGCGGCGGCGGCTACGCGATCCGATCGATTAGATCTATATCCGTCGGCGGGATCCGTCGCTCTCGGGAATCAGATCGGGGTGGGCGAACTGTAAACCGTCACCGTTGTAACACACATATAACGCAGACGCAACTCGCTCGGGGAAACACAGGAGCAGCGCAGTTATATCAGCGGGCTCGCAACGGGCCAGCGTATGACTACCAGATACTCACGGCGTGAGGGTGCGCCTTTACAAGGGTGGGCGGGTGGAAAACGAGGGATGCTGGGCGACGGCGCGGCCCGCGGCGCCACCTCCTCCCTCCGCGCGCGCGGCGCTCTCTCGCAAAATCCACCGCCTCCTTCCTCCCGCGTCCCTCTTCTCCTCGCGCGAACACTCGCGCGTCCTCCTTTCCCCTCGGCTACCCGACCCACGTCCACGAGGCGCTATTCGCCGTTTCACCTCGACTATACCCCCGACCGACGCTGTATTTCGGTCTTATTCTTCGTCATCCCTCTTCTTACGCTTCTTACTCTCGTTGCTGCTCCGGCAACTCCCTCTCTCCCGCTGTGCGCTACGCTCTTCTGTGTCTCCTCTATCGCGTTTCTTTTATCGCATTCTTTATTTCTCGTGTCGTCCGTGTTCACCGCGCGCTTCTTCACATATCGCGCGCGTATCCTCCCCCGCCTCGACCCCGAGAGGAGCGTTGTAACGCTCGCGGCAATTTTTACGCCAGGCACGACTAGGTCGGACATTCAAGCGGATGAATGCGCGTCTGTCAGACGGACTCGGCGATCGCGTCGCCGATGTCCTTAATGCGATGTCTTCCGGTGTTACTCACGAGAGACGCTCGTAAGAGGGTAGTTTTGCTCCCGGATGGGAGCAGTTGGCGATAATGGAGACGAGAAAGAAAGTAGAAATATATATCGCCGGAGATTACAATCGAAGTTAACATCGAACGAAAGCGGAGCCCAGATCATGCATGTGTCTCAGTGCATGAGACGACGCTTTAAAGTCGTCCTTGTTCTTTCGGTGATCGTTTCTTTCGGGGGGGAGGAACCGACGGGAATCGAAATCGGGATCCGAGTGAAGTCCTTATACTATTGGGCTTGGCGAATTGCACGTCTATTACGAACGGCGCTCGAGAAGTTTTCGACGATCGTGTATGATTCGCGCTACTGCATCGCGGTACAATGGTTCGCTTTTATTCCGAAATCTCTCGTTCTATAAGTCGAGATCGCTTAGTCCCTCTCTCTCTCTTTTTTTGTTCCCTCGCCCTATTTTCTCTCCCAGATTCCTTATTGATTTCTCTATCGCAATTCCCATAGAGGTTTTTTTTTTTTTTTTTAAATAGCTATATTTTCTTTCTTACGGGACTTTTTCTCTCTCTCTCTCTCTCTATCTTTTTTTTTTTTTTTAATTCTCGCAAGCCTCGATTACACGCAACCGCGTCTGACCTATTTCTCATTTTCTCTTACCGATCGTTCAATTTTCAGGAGATTGTTCGACAAATAAATTAACTTGGATTTATCGCCCACTTATATGCTTCAAATCCACTGGAAATTCTAATTTTTTTTTCGCTCTTCTAAAATATTACGTAGAAATTTTTTTGCAACAACATTTCTAGAGGTTTAAATATATTGAATCATATCACACACACATTTGTTTGATACTAATTATATCATTACACGTGGAAAAATTTGTAATTGGAAATTAAATTCCTTTTGTTACAAATTGGAGATTCTCGATTTTATTTTGTTACAAATCTAATCACAATATGGAAATTTTTGTTTTGCGAAAGTGTATTATATGATCAGTGCTGATCAACGCGTTAATGGAGATTAATCTCTTCGGGTTACAGATGGCGGGTTTTGCGAACTGTCTGAACTTATACCACGACGTATACACTCGTTAATTCCGTTAAATCGCATTCGTCTTATTAAAATGCGCGATTTTACGCAAAAGTGGCTCTTGTAAAAACGAAAAAACCGAGAGCAATATAAAAGCGATAAAAAAAAAAATCAAGCGCGTGCCCTTTTTAAAACAGACCCCTCCTCGCGAAATGACAAGTTCAAGCTGTTTAATAATTTATCTCTGTTTTCCAATTTTCCTGAAAACCATTAACTGATGAGCTGGCTGCAGCCACCTCAATATGACTAAAACTCTCAAAGGAAATACACAACTCCTTCGTTTCTCCTTCCTCTCTCTCTCTCTCTCTCTCTCTTTATACTTTTTAATTTCGTGCTTCTAAAAACATTTGAATTATTGACTGCTGAATAGTTCCTGCGAGTG